TCCAGGGTGGTGAGCTTACAGTGCACCTTCACTGCCCTAAGCATCTTCAATTCCACCATTTCACGGTCACTGCAGCCAAGACTGCCCGAGAGCTTCACGCTCCCCACCAACCCCTCCTTGTTGGTGAGAACAAGGTCCAGCATGGCACCCCTCAAATAACTGGATCATACTTTAATGCTCTTCAAATACATTGTGCATATAACATTTTATATCTGAAGTGCTTTTTAGTCTTCAATCTTAGCCTTGCAATTCGATATACTTGGGCAAAGCATTTAGGCTTACATGAAATTCCACTCAAATCATAGTTTTTTCTAGGCACAGCAGGATTGTCTGTACTAAATCAATTGCAGAGTCGGGGCTTACTAAGGCATCTCACAGTACCACTTCGAAGTTTCCATTGAACTTCCCATTTTTAAACTTGACAAAGTCACAAGCAACTAAAAATAGAATTGCATCTACCTGAATGAAGTTTCCCAAAGAAGACAAAGAAACTACATTTCTGAATGTTATTGAAATGACACCAAAATGGCCTCATGCTATCTTTTACTCAAAGAAACACCAGTGAACTGTAAGGCCAGGAGAGACTTGCAGGAAGAGATCTTTGGGTTAAGAATGCCCAGTGCAGTTCTTCTGTTCAAGTTTGACCATGTCCATAGATACCTAATGCAGTACCTATACCTGGCTACACTATTTGAAGACTCCGCTCATACCAGGCACAAATGGGATTCATCTCAGCTTGAGCCTGTCCTGCAGCTTTGATTCTGGGACATGGAGATCTCAGATGGCCAGGCATCTAAGTTGACAGCAGATCAAAGTGGGGAGAAAAGTTCCTAAATTCAAATGCAGACAGACAAGTTAGCAATAGGACTTGGAAGCAGGTTACAGCCAGATGCCATGGATAAGCGACTGGGACAGCAGATTCATAGGAATAAGGAAAAGTAGGAGATTGAGCAAAGATTAAAATAAAGCGGGACTGAAGAAGCAAGAAAATACAAACCAGAGTGGGAAGAGCTAAGAATTAATGGGTGACAAGAGAAGGCACTTATAAGGCCTCTTTTTTCCAGGCATCTAGGGAAAATGAGCGTGTATTTGTGGTTCATTCCAGTTTTGTAGCCTGATAGAAAAGCTCTAGAAAATATGAATATATCTGTCCATAAAACAAGATTCTACAAGTGGGCAGTGAACATGATCTGGAACTACATTGTGAATGCAAAATGCAAAAGATTTCCATCTCTGGCTCAAGAAGTCCATAAACTTCAGGTTACTGGAAGTCTTGAGAGGAAGGGAATATGCATCAAGGACAGCATCACTGTATAATCTCTCAGCTCTAGTAATCTCTGCGTGTTTGGAATGAGCCACTATGAGGAGAACAGCATCCTAGATCAACATTTAATGTAACTTGCTACAGACGTTTTTAGGAACACCACCACCACACTAACGACTTTTTCACAAAGCAAGTGATTTAGAACTCCGTAAGCAGCATCATAGCTGGCACATGAAGCCCTGAAGGCTTGCAACTTTGTCCTTTTTATGATTGTGCATTTGCAGAGACTGAAATTCTATCAAAAAATGTAGCATTCAGGTATTTGTATGCATATGTGATACAAGAGCAACTAGAGTATGTTGTTATCAAACACAGTATGTTTTAGGACAGATAAGCTATCTCTTTACAATGCCAAGAGCAAACTCCCTAGACTCAACTTTTCACCTTCTTTCTTTAATCACCAAGTCAGTATTTCTTTTTCCAATCGGCAGTCTTGCGACCCAGTAACACATAATACACTGAAAATGCCTGTTAACTGATGACTACTGATTTTTTGAACTGCATAGGTTCCTGCTCCGGCAGGGGGATTGGACTAGATGATCTTTCGAGGTCCCTTCCAATCCCCAACATTCTGTGATTCTGTGATCCTCCAGTTTATCTTCTGATTTTAGGATGAAGTCCAGCCAGTTGCTGAAAAAAGTTAATCACTAGCAATATCAGAAGGGGCACACTACTAGGGTACATAATAGACAAACAAAGACTAGAACAATTTAACAATTTCCTGAAATTCCAATAAGTACTACTTTTATCTTTTTATTATTATTTTTAAATTACCTATCCTGCTTACCTTGAGGTCTCGATGAATTAACCCTTCAGAATGAATGTATTTCACTCCTTCCAGTATTTGTAAAAATTTGTTTTGTGCCATCTCATAATACTTTTTGTTTTGTCTATTCTTTTCAATCCAGTTTTCCAATGGCCCTTTTTCACATAATTCCATTTGGATGAAAAGACAAGTAATTTCTTTGTCTGACTTCTGCCTGCAAAGGGAAGTTATATACCATATTGAAAATGGCAAGATACAATTCCTTGCAAGCTGTCAATGATTCTTAAGTCCCTCTTCTTTAAAATAAGCTTTTTAAAATTTATTATTATTTTTGAAGTTCCCCAAAACAAATCCTGCAAGTCCCTTGATTTTAAAAAAAAGATACTAGTCCAATTTGTACTAGATATAAATCAATAGAACTGCAAAGCAAAGAATCCCTGCTCAGTTGCTACATACCCCTGGAATGTTTCTAATTTTTGCTTGCTTCCTTGTTCACACTGAAAGCTTTCCAAGTGCCCAAACTCTTCTCCCCTCATATTTAGAGGCATACCCTGTACAGGAAGAAATAGCACTGTCCTTGGCTCCCATCTTTCCCTCTAGGAACTGCTGCAAGTCTCTGGCAAGTGGTCTCTGTTCTGCTCAACATTAGCCTTCCTCTCCTACCCAGAATGACCACATTCTTTCAGCCTCTGTCCCTTCAAGAAGGTGGTGTGGTGACCATCGCTGACATCAAATCTGTGAGAAACCCTACTGAGAGGTGGAAATCTAGGTGAGATACATTCACCCACCTGACAGCCTCACACTTTCCAGAACAGTTCCCTCACCATCAGCCCATAGGACAGGCTGAGGCTGGAGATGGTGAGGGGAAGGACAATATGAAGAGAAGGAGGCAACGCTTTTTCCTGCGTGCACTGTGTGGTCTGAGTGCCCCGGAATAAAGCCGCCTGAGGCACTGAAAGGACAAGCATTATGTGGCTTGGGACCCTCAGTAGCCTTGAGGCCAGGGCACTCAGTGGAATTCCAGGCTAGGACCTCAGCTTTGAGGATTTTTTTTTTTCTGTCTTTTGCCCAATAACTGTTCAATATGAAATGTGTAAGTGATGTTGAGACTCCAACATATTAATGGTTGGGTTTTGACACAAGACTTTTTCCCCTAACTTTATTCCTCATTTACTGAGCACACTGAACAGATATCATGCCAACCATAATTTTTAATCTATTAATATTTTATGGCTCTAGGTAAGTAAGACAGCCTATCTGAAGGGTATGAATTTACAACTAGTGAAAAAAAGCTTACTACAGAAGATTTGAAAACTTAATAACCTAACTTACAAGTAAAATTCTCACCAGTGTCTTCCAATAAGTTTTTAGTGTGGAAAGACTACTTCTAAATGAAAGAGCATTTCATGTTGTATTTCTCTTCTCAACAACCAAAATTGTTTCAGGTACCATGGTTAAAATGCTAACTTAGAGAAATAATTAAATATATGAGAGCTACTGGCTGACCAGTACTTGTTTAAAAAAAAAAGGACATTTCTGATCAGAAATTTGTCAGCCAACTGCCAGTCATTTTTTTAGTTTCTTTTGTTAATTCTAGACCCAAAATTTTGAGTTCTCCGTTCTTACTCTCCTCTATAGATTCAGCAAGTTCTGTATATTAAGAGATAATAGAAAGAGAAACTTACATAATGCATCTTATTCATCAAGGAAAAGAAGATAGAAATATACTTAATTATATATGACCCGCTGCTGAAAAGCACTGTGCCTTTTTTCCTAACAGTAAGTACATAAGTATGTGTATGCAGTGATTTGTAACCAATCATCAGCCTTTCTTTCTACAGCACAAAATTCACTATGGCAAACAAGTTTGTGAGTAGAAACTACTATCTTGTCGTTACCTTGAGTCTGGATAAGTCACATGGTCATACCCTTTCCAGCTCCAATAATACCGCACTATGTTTTCATGGGCAAGTCTTGCAAGTTCTTTTACTTCACGATTTACATTCCTATTTGGAGGGGGAGAGGGGAAAAAAAAAAAATAAAAAGGCATTTCACTATAAAAATTTCATGCTAAGTTAAGTAAAAACCAATCTATCAAATAGCAGTATACAGATAGTTTTACATTAATTTAGAAAAAGAACATAATATTCTCCATACAAGTTCAAAATCGTAGTTACAATTTCTGTGGGTTTTCTTTAATCTGCTCAATTATTCCAAGTGCACAAGTGTTTTAACCATATTGGAAATCCAAGCCCCACTCAAAAAAAGTCAAAAAAGCAGATAGTTACAATGCCTAATTACTTAGGTAGCCAAACACAATGTAGCAAACAGCCATGATTTCTTTTTACCTCTGTGAAGTTTATTTACATATACAGAAGTCAGTGTAAATACTCATGAAGAACTATTACTAAATTCGGCCTAAGCTTGTTGTAACATTGCCTAGTGAAGTAAGCTCAAACCCATCAGCAGACCAGCAGTCTTTATTTGAAGAACTGTTTTTTTTAGTATAGTTCTCAGGATAATACAAATTACATATGCTTGTGAAGAACACAGGGATTTGAAGGGCAGTTACACAATGTAAGAGACAAGTATCTCAAACAACATGAAATTTTTGAATAGATTATTTAAAAGAAATTCAAGCTTTTCAGCTGCTGATAAAATACTCCACTAGGTACTGGTTACAGAAAATTACTTTAAAAAAAAAAATAAAGATCATCATTCTCTGCTGAGATTTAAAAAGGATAAATAACACAGTGTGAGAGTAATGATTACATGGGTCAGATATAAAGCATTTTCCAATTACTTTAATTTTTCTCTATTTTCCCTAATTATAGTCATTATGCATTACTGTTACATAAATTTTCCATGTAACCTGTCAAAAATAACAGTGCTGCTTTCAGTGGTTTAATCATCACTAAGTTTTCTTCAAACACATTTTGCAATATTAATAACCAGAGCACTACTGTGTTCAGGGAAAGTAGAACTTAACAAATCTACTCTTTTACAGCTGTATCTGAAATTATTCCAGTGCATGCAAAAATTAAAAATCTGCTAACAAAGTTGCATGCCATTTTCAGCTTCACTTAGAAATAAAGAAAAGTTTACTAGAAAGAATGGACAATTAATACTGAAAATTGCTTAAATGCTTCTAGGATTATTAAAGAGACAAAACAAAGTACTAAAATCTGGATTAAGGTTATGCTAAAATGAAAAACAAAAATAAATATACAGTACATACTTTGCAAAGGGAACTCGTTTGACTGCATAGGTTCTCTCATCAAGTTTTGCTGTTGCTTTGAAAACATTCCCAAAACCACCTTCACCAATAGGCTCTATATTTTTAAAACTCTCAAGAAATCTTAAAAAAAAAAAAAAAGATATATAACTTAAGTATACTTAACAATAAATTTATAAGATATAAAAATGATCCTGACAGATCTAATACATCTGCTGAAATATCATTCTATATTTTATCACTCAACACCTATACAGGTCTACATCATAGCCATGAAGAGTAAAAAAAAAAAAAAAAACCAAAAAACAAGGGACATTGATCCTTGAAATAATCTAGGGTAATTACCCTCATATCTTCACACAAATGTCTTTTGGTTGTAAGCATTAAATATCATTGCATGTCAGCTGCTATACTACATTTGAAATTTACAGGAAAAAAAAAAAGAAATACCAATTTTCTTTGAAATTTATTTTTACAGCAGCATTTTCACACATTCTATTATAAATAAGCAAACAAATCTAGACCACTACATACTGTAATTGCCATACAGATCTTATTTGGAAGAAAAAAAAAATCCTTCTTACCTTTTATCCACAGTGTATGGACTTTCATTCTCCTCACTTGTATTTGTGTCCAAATCTGGCAAACTTTCATCTGAATCTGACGTCTTTTTTTCCTCCTCCTTTTTTCTTGCATTACCAAAATTAGCTGCCAATTTTCTTTAACAACAATAAAAGCAAAACTTATCATGAGTTGTTTTTCTAATATATGACAAGAGAAAAGAAATGTACCTCCCAATAGTGGCATTTCTTTGCTAGATATAAAAACCACTGAAGTGGTTTGCAACATAGTTTATGGGAGATAGTAACCTAGAAATAAACACGTACCTTTTGGATTTCAGGGCAGAACTTTCTGCGCCTCCCTACATGAAAAAAGAGAAAAAACCTAACTGAGATCCTCAATATTTTCACTATAGTTAGTTTAAAATATGTCTGAGAATGTATCTAGGCATCGCCTATAAATATGTTCATACCTTATATAAACAATGTGATAAGAATGAAGCCGTATCTTAGCTTAAAATTTTTTACATGTGCTATATATGACATCATCATTCTTCCCACAGAAAGATACGAGCTTAGTTTGATCCCCTTTCTTGCAAATACTGACCATTTGGTCAACAGGACATAAACTGGGTACATAGTACAGAAGTAAATTACTAATGGTGAACAGTAAGAAAGTAATGAATATTCTTAGGAAAAATGTACATGTGTTTTCTAGTGATTAGTGGATAAAGGAACAAACTGGTGCTACACTGACAAGAGCTTTTTCTGTGCAGGGTCTACAGTGTAATTATGAGGAAGACCATTTCCATACTATACCTGAGAAGGCGAAGGCTTTTTACATATTGCCATGTCTTTCATTTTTTCTTCCAACTTTCCAGCTGAGTCTTCAAAGCAAATACTGCTGTTACCAAAAAATAATAGACTCATTTTAGATGAAAGTAAGTAACACAATCACAAATAAAATGATTGTCATAAGAAATAAAGAAGCATAAAAAAATACACAGTTTTTAAAAGCAAAACCTGAAAAAGCATTAACAATCAGGACTTGCTTAAACTACAAAACTTCATGCTGGAAAGCTAATAAATAATAACATTTTGTAATATACTCCTCTATTTCTATGATATGATGTCTAGAATATATATCATATAGATATCCATTATATCCATTAATTAAATAGGTTAAATACAGATGTATATTTCAAGGCACTGCAGCCACGTCTAGCACTGTACATATCAGGTTGCTTTTCAGTTGCGCAAAGAACACAAAGGAAGTGGTAGTGGCACTACAGTCAAGTCAACTGCTGGACCCAAAAGGCTTGACCTAAGGTTCCCAAGTCACAAATTAAACTTTATGCAGGCTCATTTTCTTTCACTAAGAAAATTTTCCCTTTGGTGGAAGTGAAGATTCATGGAGAATGAACAAAAAAAAAAATAAGAAAGCAGAATGTGGAGCACAGTAAACTACTGAAATTGAATTATACTGAGTTCACAGGAGCGTCGCAACAGGAAAATGAGTGTTAAAAATTGCATGAAATGTTGCTATCAAATGAGGTAGGTTATTCCATTTACCCCACAGTAAAAATGCTTCTGAAAGGACTACTCATGGCAAAATGTAAAAATATATCAGAAAGCTCTACAATTATCACAGAATCACCTGGTTGGAAAAGACCTTTGAGACAGAGTCCAACTGTACCTTCCCACTGCTAAACCATATCTCTGAGCACCTCATCTACCCATCTTTTCAATACCTCCAGGGATGATGACACCTCCCTAAGCAGCCCATTCCAGTGCCTGATAACCCTTTCAGTGAAGAATTTTTTCCTGGTATCCAATCTGAACCTCCCCTGGCACAACTTGAGGCCATTTCCTCTTGTCCTATCACTTGCTACTTGGGAGAAGAGACAAACATCCACCTCGCTACAACCTCCTTTCAGGTAGTTGTAGACAGTGATAAGGTCTCCCCTGAGCCTTCTCCTCTCTAGGCTAAACAACCCCAGTTCCCTCAGCCACTCCTCATAAGACTTGTTCTCCAGCCCCTTCACCAGCTTCATTGCTCTTCTCTGGACACGCTCCAGTGCCTCAATGTCCTTCTTGTAGTGAGAGGCCCAAAACTGAACACAGTATTCAAGGTTGGGCCTCACCAATGCTGAGTACAGGGGAAGGATGACTTCCCTGGTCCTGCTGGCCACACTGTTTCTGACACAGGCCAGGATGCCTTTGGCCTTCTTGGCCACCTGGGCACACTGCTGGCTCATGTTCAGCCGGATGTCGACCAACACCCCCTGGTCCTTTTCCACCAGGCAACTTTCCAGCCACTCCTCCCCAAGCCTGTAGTGTTGCATGGGGTTGTTGTGACCCAAGTGCAGGACCTGGCATTTGGTCTTGTTGATCCTCATACAGTTGGTCACAGCCCACTGATCCAACCTATCCAGGTCCCTCTGTAGAGACTTCCTACCCTCAAGCAGATCAACACTTCCACCCATCTTAGTGTCATCTGTGAATTTACTGAGGGTGCACTCAATCCCTTCATTGATAAAGGTGTTAAACAGAACTGGCCCCAACACTGAGCCCTGGGGAACACCACTTGTGACCAGCCTCCAACTGGATTTAACTTATTTCTTATAAGCTAACCTATAAGAACTCAAATAAAATTGCAAAAGTACAAGAAATTTTGCTCTGAAGTCTAAGAAATATAATCTCAAATTAAATGGCATTATACTGCAATAAAGAAACTATGACAAATTTTATTTTGAACCAGATCACAAGACCCTCTAAAATTAGTAAATACATTTTTCTTATCATATTATCAGTGAACTCAACTTACTCTGAGTCAGACCGAGTTAGCACTTGGGAGGAATTACTATATTCATTAAGTGTAGAATTGCTATTAGTTTTTCCACTTACCATCTGAAAAAAAGAAAAAACAAGAATGGTTAACAAAATCATATTTAAAAAATCCCTAGTGCAAAAGATGCCATTCAAAGAGGGGAGAGGGAAGATTACAATGTCCTAAGTGGAAGTTGTTAACTGCAATGAATGTTCAGAGCCTTGCAGAAGAAAAGGCATCTCCCTAACTTCCACCCAGAGGAGTGAAACACGGAGCCCTGTCACAGTGAGCGTTTTCCTACTCATATTGAGACCATACAGCTGTGTTTGCAAAAGTAGAATCTGAGATCTATTAAAAAATCAGGATAAGAGTAAGAGTTATTAAATAGAAAGGTTTTCATTGTTTACTGCATATGCAGTTGTCTGTGTGGAAAGTTAGATATACGTAGGCTTTGGTATATGTAACCAGCAGAACTGAAAATCTGAGTCTGTACAAAAAGACATGCAATGTCTTCAGTGTGACAACTCAGCAAAACCTGGATTACTAAAATGAGGTCAACTAAAAAAATTAAACCTAAATACTTAGTAGAGGTTCTTCCCCTTTCCACCCACCTCCACCATGTCATAAAAGCATAAATGTAATTTTAAAAGCAACATCTACAATTGTTACAGACCATAACCTGTCAAAAAGTAAAAAAACTTAAGGGTTTATGTTTCAGTGATAGTCAACAAAGAAAACCCTTTTTTTAAAGTCAGGAGTACTGGGCCTTTACTACTTTTTGCTACTTACATTTTGGTTGTTACACAGACATCACTGTTGGGAATTAATAAAAATTAAAACCAAACCAAAACAACCCACCACAAATTTAGAATAATTGCTACAGAGGTTCTGCTTGCAGTAGTAAATTTCGGACTTTGATGAAAATGCAAAGACCCATGAGCTCGCAACATGGGGAAATATTAAGGAAGGATCCTAGAGCTACAATGGGCCACTAATCACATAGATAACTTAAAAACAACAATAAAAGCAGCATTTGAAATCCATAGGAAACAGACAAATAATGAAAAAAAGTATTTAAAGCAGAAATTATTTCTTTCCTCCCTGGTACTGCCTTCTTTTGCTTTAAACTACCCTTCATTTGAGTTAGTTCATATGTACTGTTCTGTGCATTTCAGAAGCGGGTTTGGATCACTGTTAGAATTCTGGTAATTTTTTGCACATATGGAAATACGACTGCCAACATGACAACAACCGCTCTGCTCTCCAGAGGATGGTGTTAGCAATTGCTTCACTAGACTCTGCCTCGGAACACTAGAGAAGGCAAGTCCTGGTGATTTTCACTCCTGCTTTTGCCTTTCTCACATTTCACAACAGATTTTTGATCCAACAGAAGGCAGTACATGGCTTAATGTACACGGGAGTACATTTATGTTCATAGTCAGTCAGCTTGGCAACACTTCACACAGGAGACAACCAGTGTATTAGAGCAGTCAGGATTCAGAAATTTTTAATGTATGTGCATCCTTGAATGACAACATATCAGACCATATTCTGAAATACTCAGAGATATCAACTATTTTTTTTAATCCAGCAATTGAATATAGAAACATAACATAATTTTTACCAACAGAATCCTGGAGCCCAACCAACCCACCAAAATATAGATTGTTTTCTGCTTAAGTGGAATCCATGGAACATGCTTTTAAACACAATGAGTAAATCTACTCAAAGATTAAAGATACAATAATTAAACTTATGTCTTAAGGCTAAATATAGGACATACTGTTGTAGCGCCTTCCTTATTTAGCTTCTCTAACGCTTGTTTTGCAGCAGCTTGTTTTGCAGTAGCTAGAGAAGGTCCGGTGCCAGTTCCATACACAAAACCACTAATTGTACAGTTACAAGAAAACCTGTAAAATGTAACAGGGAATAAAGTCTTATGTCCCATATGGCAAATCTTAATTTAATGATTTTAAACACTACAATCAATTGACATTATAGAATGGAAATCCAAAATATACATTTTCAGGACAGTATTTCCAATGTGCATTTAATCTACTTAATAATGGTAGGTAACTAATTTGGCATGGCTTCAAACATAACCAGTTTTAAGAAGATGAATATTTAGCACTTTTTAAAGTTAAACTCCTTAAAATATCATATCATATGCACCCATAATCACAAATTATCTGCAGTTTAGGTTTTAAAATGGCTGATTTTGCAGAGGAAGAGAGGAGGAGTTTTCCAGCAGATGTCATCAAGAGAGTTAAAATATGTAGATATTCTTTATCATTCCTCAGCTGTCATCAAGTGGTACATTTCTACAACTCCCTGACTGCAATACGTACAGAAGGGGACCTAGACGGTCTTTCCTTGGCACTTGGCTCCTAGGGGCCTCCAAAATACATGCCAAGAGGTCCACAAAGGCACCAGAGCTACAGCCAAGGTAGCTGACAATTTGTCAACACTGACTACCACTCTATCATCAAGCCATCTCTTCTCCCAGCTAAACAAACTCAGTCCTCTTAGCATTTCCTCCTATGCCATATCCTCCAACTCCTTAACCACCTTAATGGCCCTCCATTGGATTTTCTCCAGACCACCTCCAAATTTTTATTGTATTTCAAAAGATTCATCTAACACTACTCAGGATAACTAATGGTAGTGTTAGTAAACACAAAGAAGTATTAAAAGCAAGTATGAAGAAAAGTACATCTTACATGGGAGCATGGGCGTCTCCAGTACGTTTTTTGTTAGGATAATCTACTATGTGCAATGTCTTTTGTGAATATATATTTAGTAGGCTGACATAGTCGCTACTTAGTACAGGTGATAAGGTCACTGGAGTCGTCATTAATTCTGCAGCTTGCATACTTGAAGTAGTCTCTGGCTATAAAACAAACAAAATAGGAAACAATATATAGATTCAGATAAACAGCACACAAGATCTAGCATAGCAGCAAGGCTTGTCAGCATTTCAAAATATTTTCAAGAAATCACAAGTTTGCATTAACAGAGTCCCTTGTGGCAAAGGGCAGCCATCCCAATCCAGAATTATTGGATTTTTCATTTCCAAAGAAATGTAAATCCAGTTTTCCAAGTATTGCACCAATGTCTTTAACAACCTATGACTATGTGTCCTCCAACCTCTTAAGAAAAGACAGGGAATGAGCTATGAAATGTCTCATTAAAAAAAAAAAAATCAAATGCTGCGTCTGAATTTTCTCACAGCCTGAGCAGAGCCAAGAAAAAGGATGGCAGCAGGATGCAAGGGCTGCAAATGCGCCCATGCATGCACAAGAGGGGAAAGCAGGACTTTTCAGCTGTCCCTTGATTACACAGCATCAATAATATACTAGCAAACATGCAGCAATTGTGTTAAAGTAACGATGGTGACACAATAAAAAGCATATGAAAACAGGTAAGGAGAGATTTCACTCAACAAGGTGCTAAGAAGCATTCAGAGTCAAAAAGAACAAAAAAGAATGGCTACCACAAAACACATGGCAGAAAACAGACGAACAAAATTCAAACCTACACTAAATCAAGAAAGGATAAAGAGTATAGAATCAGCTATACCATAAAGAATATAATAACACAGAAACAAAAGATTAATCAGATCAAATGAAGGTAAGCAATTTTATGAGCAGAGTGGCAACAGACACACTGAACAATGCCTTGTAAATGTTTTGATGACATCAAATTGCTGAACAGTTGTCAAGATAAAAAAAAAACCAACACTGTCCATTCTGGATATACCAAGACAGTTGAACAAAGGCAAATACATTTCCTCATCCTCTTGTAACAGCAGAGGAGGAAACATTCTCAATATTACATACCAACCCTGCAGCAGAACAATAAGGAAATAATTCAGTGGTAAAAAGTAGACAAGCACTGAATAATACAGAACAAAGACGATTTAAATAAATCATAAAAAACCTCTTCCAAATTAAAAAAATTAATATTGGATACTTTTAGAGATTCATCTTCAACCTTACTATCAAAACAAAACAAAAAAATCGTACAGTTTACTCACCTGTTTCTGAATCATTTTCCACGTTCTTTTTGCTGCTACTGCTTTTGCTTCCTTCTTATTTTTACCAGTGCCTCTACCATAGTCTACATTGTTTATTTTAACCACAACTGTGAACCTGCAACGAAGGAAATTTTTCTAAAACATTGTTACATTTTGTCTCATATATACTCAATAACCTTCTCAGATTCAACTTTCTTTTTATTATCTACAAAGCACTGTAAGTTAACCGTGGAGGTATTTAAGTATTCATGTGTTTTTGTAATATCTAACTCCTGATTATCATAATTCTTTAGTAGAAATATTGGTTAGATGTTTCCTCCCTAGTCACAAATGCACATACTTTATTAGTAACAGTATTCTTAGATGCTTAACTGCTTTTCAAAAGCAGAATTATTTAAATTTTTAAAAACAAAAGAATGCACAAGATCAGCGTTGTTACAGGCAAAGTTGTGAAGCCTTAACACCAGGACACACCTCAGCATTGCAAAACTACCTGGAGAGGAAAGATTAGCTAATAGTGATTTAATGGATCCAGAAATGACATTACACTCACCTTTGATACAGTGCTATATACACTATTTATTAAGTATAAAAAAAATGTGTGTTGTGCTTCAGAAGACATGAATTCAAAGGCAGTCCAAACAAAAAAAAAAACCCCAAACAAAAAAAATCAGTGGCTGCCCTTCCACACTCAACCACTGATCCCTTCCCCCTCCACTGCACAACTGTGCACACGCTGCTTCCCACACTACAGGGAATGGATGCAGCTCAGGACTGACTGTACTGGGTCTGGCTGGGATGGAGTTAACTTTCTCCATAGCATCTGCTATGGTGCTATGTTGTGGATTTGGGACTGAAACAGTGCTGGTAACACAACAGTGTTTTACCTATTGCTGAGCAGTGTTTGCACAGCATCAAAGCCTTTTCTTTTTCCCCACCCTGGTGTCCCAGCAAGTAGGCTGGGGGTGTGTGAGAAGCTGGGAAGCAACACAAGACATTTGAAAATACGTTTAAATTATTTCATGGGTAAACTAATACTATATTTTTGTTTTAATTTGTGTATTGACAACATGATAGAATTCGGCTCTTCTTACTTTGGATCTAGATTTTACAATCTAGGGCAGTTGGCCAGAGGAATATTCCGTGCCATATGGCATCACACTCAGCAATAAAAGCTAGGGGGAAAAGGAGGAAGAGGCAACACTGGGGGTTATAATGTTTGTCCTCCCAAAGTAGCCATTACGTATGATGAAGCCCCACTTCTCTGGAAATGGCTAAACATCTTCCCCGCTGATGGGAGGCAGTGAGTGAATTCCTTGTTTTGCTGTGGTTGCTCATACAGCTTTGTTTCACTTACTAAACTGTCTTTATCGGGAGCCATAAGTTTTTCTTCCTTTCACCCTTACAATTCTCCCCCCACCCCACTGGGAGGAACTGAGTGAGTGGCTGGCTGGGGGTTTCACTGCCACCTGGGGTCAAACCCCTCATCCCGACCTAATAACGAAATGCTGCTTTTCAGCCAAATCAGTTCTTACCCAGATCTGACTTGTCCTGCAGTTGCAAAATCCCTAATGTTCCTGCTACTGCCTTCACACAAAAGGCAACAGAGGAGAAAAAAACAACTAGATTTGTGCTTTTGGCAGCAGCACAAACGTGCCTCAAGTTAAAGGGACCATTATTATAATCTCGGGTATGTCTGTACTTCATATTGCAGCAGAGCATATACGCAAGCTTACAGTAGACAGGATACATTCACAGAATGAAGCAGTGTAGTTATAACACCATGAGTTTTCTCTGTGGGACTATTTGTCTCAACCAGTGGAATGACTTCAGGAATTCACTTTTTGTATTTTTCCAACTTTGCTCTCCACTTCCTTTTAATGAAATGTTTGGATGGAAAACAACACAGATTCAGAACAGTGCTTGCAGTCATTGTGTAAGCAAGCCTTAATGGGAGATCTTAAGGAGGCAAACAGCAGGACAAGGCACACCACAGTGTGCCACATACTCTACACTTAGGAAACACCATACCAAAGAAAAAGCATGAAAGAGATCGTTCTTTGGGAAAGGGTTTGTTAGCCAGCTGGCCTGGTTGTCCACACAATGCATTCCCAGCCCAAGAAAGCTCACAGCCGCTCAGAATGGAGCCAGCCTGGGCTCTCCCAACCTTCTTACATCACATTCAGCACTGACTCTGCTAGACATTGCAGTGGAAGCAGCTACAGCACCAAAACCAGGACATGATGGGAGGAGCTGACAGGAGGTGCCTCTGCGTCATGCCTCAGACAACTGCAGGAGGACTTATAAGATGGGACACAGCACAGAAGAGTTAAGGAGCCAGCTCAGGACCAGCAGTGGCCAACATGTCCCATTAGCAAGCAAAGCACTGGGATAGAGCACCACCAGGGCACCAAAGGAGGTTTACAGCTCTCATTGCTGTAGCCCCAGACTGTACATTGTACCCCTTGGAACAGCTCAAGTTATCCAGGATCTTCCTAGATACCACTGTCACACCTCACATCACTTACAGATACAAGAGAATGGGTTGAATCATATTTTTGAATGTAGCAGAGCACACAGAACAAAATTTAAAAGTGCAATGAATGGGATAAATGTGTAAATTTGAAATTTATGTAAATTCTTAGTCCCATGCCATCATTTTTGAAGCGTGAAGATGTAGCTGTGTGATGACAGCTGTGGCCACTGCTGCAATAAGGGTCACTTTTTTTAATTACATGAGCCACATGTAAAAAAATAAGATAACTGATTAACATTTCAGATGCAGATAATACTTACTAATTTATTCTGGGACTATGGTCAGGTTTAAGAATAAGTCAGCACAGGCAGTGCTGGCTGGCAACATGGAGGACATTAAAAGAAACATACTAATTATTAGCATAAGGCTTGTCTTCATGCAAACTACCAAAAATAATTTTAAAAAAATCATGCAAGGAAACATCATAGATCTTGAGAGATCTTGAGTATCTATGATCTCTACAAGGGAAATAGCAAAACACCATATTTGTGTTAGAAGTAAAACAAAATTTCATCACCTGTAATTGTCTCTAAAAGTAAAAGCAAAACAGCTTAAGCAAAAGACCCTTCTCTTGTAACAGACGTTCAATAATTAACTACACGTAAAACATGTTGGTACCAAATCAATTAATATACACCTTACCTTTATAGTTAGAAATTAACAATATAAAACAAATAATTTCCACACTTTGTAAAACTAAATAAAAACCAAAGCACTTAAGTTAGCACAGATCATGAACTGAAACGCTTACCTGCTTACCTGCAGCCTACCCCCACCTCCTGAGAGGTTTCATGGCAGATGCGTAACATAAGCAGTGCATTGCTGCTGCTTCCCAAAAGAGGGACATCAACTCTGAAATAAGTTTTCTCCTCAAACTCTATCACATGACATCCTCCTCACACACCTATCACTCAATTTATTGCTTCAGCCAGCTCCCCTGACACATGTACATTTTCAGCAAATTAACTTTTATGATTCCAAACTTCATCCAGTTTGTTCATTGCAGGAAGAGTCCTGATTTTTATTGACATGCACAGTGAACTTACTCAGGATCATGAGATGGGCCGGTCATCCCAACATCAGCATAAACCAGTTTAAGTTTCTGCTTTAGACAGTGATTGTTCAGCTTCTCCATGAACTCTCGATCCATTCTGACACAATCTCAAAAAGGTTCTGCAAAGTAACATTCAAAGATACGTCTGTGCCTCCAGGCATAGCTTGGAGACAGCCCCTAGTCCTGGCAGACCTCTGCTGTGATGCAAAATACAAAGCCGGTGTCAGTAAGATAAACTTCGTAGAAAACGAATTCTAATTTCTAATTCAAGTGTTTGCTCTGCAACTGTGTCTGAAGAGTCATTGGTTGGAACAACAGATTTAGAAAGCAGAGCAGAGAATGGAGTGATTACAGATTTCTTGGCAGGAAAAGGCTGAATCATTCACTGAATCTTGGCAGGATGGGGGGGAGGTGGGGG